CCAAATAGGGTTTTACATTTATCTAACCTTTTTCATATATTATATTGTAATGACCTTATCGAAAGTTTCAAAAGTTCAATAGAATATTCATATTGGCATTTTTTTTTCGTCTTGATGGTATGGTATTATAATTCGAAAACGATACACGTCGCTCTTTCGTGACAACTGTATAATATTCAAATATACCATTTATTTATTTTGTTCTTTTGACTTGTGATACCGATAGGCAGATGAAAAGGTCCCGACCACCTCAAAATTAACTTGAACTCACTTATTTTGATAAGCAAGAAGTATTAAAAGCTATTTTTAATCTGCCAAACTTTTAAACTTAACGGAACTTATGAAGACGTCGATATTCATGTGGGAAATATTGCAATGTTAGCGCCATTTGGAATCTTTCGAAAGGGAACAGTACGTTACACACAGATACTCGGAATTGTACTTTGAAATGAATATCACCCTACAATGATATTTAATGTACTACTTAATTCCTCATATAGGGCCTGTTAGGAAACCGTCTGGTAATCTTCAAACGGAGTGGGAAAAAGGCTAATAATGAGTGAATAGAGTAATATACTACACAATTCCATCCGGCATTGCAATTGCCAACTTGTTATTCATCTTACACAAAAAGCAAGAAGTCAATAAATGTTCATTTGAGCGGAATATTGCAATCAAAATCAATTGGTCCATTAAGTAATTTTAATATGTCTCTGAGACTTTGTGACAACAGAACAATAAAACTATTATTGATCAAACAGTTTTTAAACAAGGGAATTGTGTGTGACTTCCTAAAATACTATCGTGTTCATAATTAGTAAATTACTTAACAGTGCTTTGAAAGTGAAATCTATTGTGTCATTGCATGCCAGGGTTCGTTATAGATAATGCTAAATGAATGATCATGAAACTTTTTGATGTGAGAGGCAATTAGACATGAATCGAAATGAATGGAGTTTTACGTCCTACTTTTTTTTACAGCATATGACGAAATAAATACGGGCAACGCCATCTATCGTGCAATGAGGGAATCTTTGCCAGGACAGCGGCATCAGCCTGATCTTGTTCGATTTCCATCTGTCGAGGGAACTTTAACGTGCACAGCCCGTGGTACACGGGGCCTCGGTATATTGTCCCATCCGAACGACTAGACGTTTTTTCCATGTAAACTCCCCTTATCTGCATCACTGACAAGCGGAAACCAGGTTAAAAAAGAGCTTAGACTTCATCATTTCAAAATAAAATATACCCTTGTTGATTCTTATCCATTTACCAGTTCGCTTGGTACAATGATATGCCTTAAAAAGCCACTTGATCCGGAAACCACTACTTACCATCCTTATTCTATTCGAAACACCTGATGGTACTTCTCTATAAAAGAGTCCACTACTATGCATCTGTTAGTCTCGATTTAGTCATACTTTGGGCGATATTTTAATGAACAACATTATCTTGCTTGTACGGATCTTGTTTTCAATATATTTTCTGTAGCCATCATAAATTAATGGAACCCATTTTTTAGTAAACATTTTTAAGATCTGTTGGGAAGGATTTAAGCCGCCCAAGTAGCAATAATAAAGTAATCATCGGTATTTAAAGACGTGTTGGTTTATCACGATGAACGATCTGATCAAAATGACAACTATCGCAATACAATGTTATATTGTAAATCTTATAGAGGTATACCATATGTTCCAGCCAAAATAATCGATACTCTTATCATTTTTCTGAAATAGTTTTTTTTTTTCAAAATTCGAATATTTTACTGCTGTGAAATGTTTATTTTCCTGTCTACGAGTTAAATAGAAAAAAGTATTGAATTATAATAGAAGTCGTACGTTTAAATTGAATGTGTGATAAAAAAAAAAGAATAATAGTGTTCGTTAAAAGTAAGTTCGTGTCAAATGCAACTGGAAATTATATCACTCATAAAATAAAGATCTATCACAATTTTGATGTTTAACGCCTGAAAAAATGCTATTCAGATAGTGCGAACGTGATTTTAAAATTTTACGTAAAACATAAACTGAATGGTCACAGATTCTCAACAACAAAATCTAATTTTTGCTTGCTTGGTCGTTGAGCAGGTTGACTCGTTTCTGCCAGATGACCCCAGTTAGAAGCAGTTGTTGCTATCCTAATTGTCACCAGTAGTCCAAGTGATTTCATTTCAGTTTCTCTTTGCTTATCGCAAAGTCAATCCGAACACCCCTTGATGTCCATGAATTCGAAATTCTAATAACTTGATGTGATATAGGAGTTCGAACAAATTCCGAAATTCTTACAACTTGATGTGATATGGTGGTACTGGACGAATTCTGAATTTTTTCTAACTTGATGTATTATGGTAGTACTGTACAAATTCGGGAATTCTTATAACTTGGTGTGATATAGGAGTTTCGAACGAATTCCGCCCAAGTTGATATGAAAGTTGATATGGAAATTTAATGCACTCACTGTAAATAATCGATATTCAACATAAAACATTATATATGTAACTATGTCATATAAAAAACAATTCACTCATCAGGCTATGAAGTGATCAGTATCTGGCCATATGGAGTCCTTTTTAACAATTTTGGTTTCAAAACATAGAAAAATATATTTACTAAGTAGGCCAAATTTTAATATCAAAATCATTGATAATTAAGCATGAAAAGATTTCTAAAGTGGCTGTTGACTACAATGTATATACTTGATAATCCTGAATATATTTCAAAAGGTTCTTAAGAACGGTACGTATTTAATGAATGAAGCAGTTTGATCATTTTTGAAGTTTGGTCTGAAAATGCTTCGGTCTTTTTCGTTGAAACCTTCATAAAAAGAAGGAGAGATTTTTCTCTACAATATGGTTTCTATTTTGCTAAAATACATTACTTTTCCAACAACCAAAAACCTAGCGACGTTAAAAGTTTATTTGCCTTATCGGCGAGATACTTTAAAGGGGCAGATGCACAATTTTGTTTTTCAAAAACGGTAACTTTTTAGCTAAGCCAATCACAGCTCACCGTCGAAGTTTGAGCCTTTAAATCCTTCTGTGTCCAGAATTACCTGCGTTTGAAAGTTTAAAAGAGGAGTCGCCTTTTCTTGAAGGTCTGTCATATATAGAAAAGAGATCTATAGAAATAGAAAAAGTATTTCTTAGTTTGAGATATTTTTAAAGGAATTATGGGATTTTCGACATTTCCAGCACTTCTGAAGACTATTTACGTAATTATATTCAAATCAACACCCCAAAATGACGATTATGTTCTTTAAGGAACACATTTCTGTAGATTTGGAAGTTTTCGTAAGTCGTAAAATATCATAAAAAAAGTCCCAACTTAATTAAAAAAAATCAGTCTGTCCCTTTAAGTTTAGTGTGAATTGATAAAAAGTATTCAGATGTGCTACATAATTATTCATTGTGTTCATTATTTTTTCGAGTGAATGTTTTATTCACGGAGATTCCATTCAACACGAAAAGCTATTATCAAGAACAAGACTGTATCATGTGAAAATCATTCTCGCGAAGAAAAGGTATGGTTTATCATATTCTTATCCGTGTAGCAGTTCAACGATTATGATTGACTCGGCTACAGTATTCCAATAATTACCACGTCTGAATGAAACATTGTGACTGTGGTATAAGGTGTAGTACCAGCGCTCGAACATTGAACACGTATGGAATGAAGCTAATATTGGCGTGAATATTACGTTTTCTGCATACTTAGGAATATATCAAACTTAATTTTCAACTACATATTTGGAGGAAGAAGCGAGGCGAGAAGGTGATTAAAAACTTTGAAGAAGAACACTTATATAAACTTTTGTGTGTTATGGAGAGCCAACATATAACAGATATTCAAATTATAATGGTAACGAATAAGTAGTTAGAATTCGTGCTAAAGTTCGATGAGAACTAATTCATATTGGATTACCCCTATGTTGTAGAAATATTGTATTTTAGATGACTCTAACTGTGCGTAGGTTATCAAAATCCTTAATAATAGACGTATCAATTTGATCAAAAATATTCGTGGTCAAGTTTTTGTTAGTGTACAACATTTCGTACGATAAACAGAATTTAACTATAAGCCAGGGTTTAATAGAAACTAGAAAACAATTCAACTGAGTGGCATTTTGGAAGGAAAATCTTTACTATGATTTGAGACGTAACTCAAGTGATTATTATACTGCGTTTTGATCATTAGAGAATAAGAGGCGTTACAAAGGTTGACGTTTAAAGTTGTAAAATCACCAACAGCACTAGGAACGTGCATAGAGACTGAAAAATAAAAATCGATTAGGCAAGTTGGAAAGTGGCCTAATAGATAAGGACAAATCAACTGGGGACAAATCGACTGGATGAATTAGAGACGTCAATGGTATAGGACAAATAAACTGGTTGGATTAGAGACAAATCAACTTGCTGTGATAGAAACAAGTATGACAGATCAGCTGACTGCATTAAAGACGTGTAATGGTGTAGGACAAATCAATTGATTGAATAGTGTAGGGCAAATGAACTGATGGACTTACTGTATAAGAAACAAGTAGGACAGATCAGCTGACTGGATTAGAGAGGTTTAATAGTGTGGGACAAATCAGCTGGGTGAATTAAAGACGTGCAATAGCGTAGGACAAATGAATGGGCTGGATAATAGACGAGTGGGGACAAAGTAGCTTATATGATTAAAGACGTGTAACAGTGTGGTACAAATCAACTGGGTGACTAAGCAACTAGTAATACTGGTGGTGGACAAATCAACGGACTGTATTAGAGATGCATAGTAGTTTTGATGGACAAATCAACTTGCTGGATTAGAGACGTGTATCAGTGTCTTATAGGACAGTTTTATTATTAAACACTAACCTTGTTTCCGATCGATCTGATTTAACTATAATAAAACCTTACAGCTATGTGATAATTATTATGAGAACTATCCCAGATGCTTTCTTAAAACATCATTTAAAGTACTCGCAAAAGTAGTTGAGAAACTAAGATGGCAGTTGGTGATATGAATTGTACAGACTGTGTTTCAAATACCTTTGAGGACTGTGAAAACTTGTCGGATATTTTGGAATTATTACGTTTTCAAGCGGACAATGAAACTTTGATTAAACGATTAAATGATTGCAACTATTTGGAATATCCCAAACCGCTACATTTAGCAATAAGTATACCATATGCTGCAGTCTTTCTTCTGTCTGTCCTGGGCAATTTTCTCGTCATTTTGACTTTGGTGCGGCACAAGAAAATGAGAACGATCACTAATGTGTATTTGTTAAATTTGGCTGTCAGCGATCTATTATTAGCAGTTTTCTGCATGCCTTTTACATTAATACCATTATTATTACAAGATTTTATATTTGGTGATGTTATCTGTGTTCTCATCAGATATTTACAAAGTAAGTACAATTATGTTTACCTTTTAAAGCTCTTAATACATCAAATGCATTGCAGAAGACATGCACGAAGTTAGGTACCCACAAAAATAACTGATTTCGCAGTTGTTTGTGGTTTGCAAAAGTGTTTAATCCTATGCTCGAAGAAAAAATAAACCAAGTACCAAGATCAGAACCGCAAACCAAAACAACACACTGGCAAAATAAATTTTCAAATGAGGTAGTATATCAGTGAAAAATCTGTAGACATTCGTGCTGCATAAAATCAGCTTATAAAAGTGCACCTACGTTTCTAACAGTTTACCAATCAATGGATGGTTTTCCAGTGTAGGTGACCGTTCTTAGATGTTATTTGTGTCTTAACATTTAAGTAGTAGGCCTAACAATCCTACATTAGATAGTATCGTTATTATCAGACGTAAAATACTCATACGTAAGATAATTCTTAAAATTACTTTTATACGTAAATTGCAGTCTTATCCTCTAATCTTCAAAAATTACAAATATTCAATGATACTTCTTGTTTAGACACGTTGAAATGGTCAATAATACAAGTTTGAAATAAATCCGTGTTTTAAGCCTTAAATATAGCATCATTATTATGAAACTAAAATGAAAAACTATAACTCGGAAGAATAGGTATTTTGATGACTATCAGCTTCAATTCACTGACCTAAATAAAATACGAGGTAAGCTAAAGTGTCTTACTATTGAATGAATAGGTCTGTTTTCTGTTATACTTTTCCTGAGAGAAGAATATATATAAAAATATTGATTTAGTTTTAAAATTAAAGTCCCTAAGACAGCATTTTCAGGACCTTGAATATATGCAAATAAGTCTTCAGAAGTATCAGAAATGTACGAAAATCGAATAATTCTTTCAATACCTCAAACAAATTTTTTTTTTCTCTCTGAAAATTTAGGTATCCTAAAGTTGTACACTGAGGTGCAATGACGAGAAGTGGGGCTGGAAAATTGGGTGTAATATTATCCAGTCCTTAAAACTATTATTTCATATGATTCCCTATCGAGAATCGTTTAGCTGTTGTTGCTAAGATTATGTTTTACTATGTCTTGTCTTATGGTCAAAGCGTGCACCTATACAAATTAAAAATATTTTAACCTTAAAAAATGTTTTTTTATTTCTGATAATTTGATCGATACTTTTTAAATGTTGCATGTATTTGTTTTGTTTTTTAAATTACCAATGTTTTCTAGATAGAAATTTGTGGACTATCGTCCTTTGTTGACGACTGCATTAAGATACTTCTCCATCGTGTCCATTCTGTATTCACAGAATTGATCTTGTGGTATATGTTTAACAATATAACAAGTTTGTCTACAACTCGTTTGGAGTGTGAAATGTCTCAGATGACAAATTTCTTATTTACCAAGTTACAGATTACAGCAAATTGTTACAAATGAGTCCAACCGTTCTGGAATCATTTATTATACAAACAGTATTCCTGGGATTGATTGAGTAAAACTGATGTCTCGCTATATTTCAATTTAACTCAAGTCTCAATAATGTTAAGACCACATCAGTCATTACTCAAGGGAATTGTCGCAACTAAGCATGAAACACATGTATAAAAACCATCAATTTCATATATTGCTTTAATTTAAATGGTCTCTTTACCAAAGAAAGCAAGAGATATAGGAAGTAAAATTCTCATTTCATTTCTCTAAGAAGACTGAAATAGCCAAATGATATGAGCTTCTATAAGTTCTTGCTAAGGTCGTGAAATAGGACTTTCCAATGCGATTGCACCCTGTCAACGATGAAGAACTGGCGTGGAAAAACATCTACCCGTTCGAATAGGTCAGGTGTTGATATAGTCATCTGTCTTAAAGAAGCATGACATATGACGTTGTCTGAGAATTAACATATTTCATTGATCAGTATATATATTATTTCTCGATCAGAGTATTTTTGGTATGTACTAGTGAATATCTGACAACAACAAACGAAGAAAGTTCTGATTTTTTTTACGATTTTTTTTTCAGGAATAGACAATAGAGCACAGGGAAAATAATTGACTTAAGCCACCCTGACATTTGAGCGATTTTTATCCCTGGAATACCGCCCAATTTGTCGTGCTTAGACGTCCCATTTTTGTTACTTTCAGCAGAGCTGTCTGTTCATAAAGAGCTGGTTTCTTGACGAATTTTGTCGAAACTGTGTGTGTTTGTAATCATCCAAGAATAAACCTTATCAAAATTCGAAAAATATTTAAAATAGTTTTTGTCCTTGTTCTTGAAAATGCGTCAATTTTTTTAGCTCATAAACACTCTTAGAAGGTACAATTCTTTACGGATTTTGACGAAACTTGCTGAAATTGTTTATTATTACCCAAGGATGAACCCCATTGAAAATAAAAATAATCGAAAAATATTCAATATGAGTTATAGCCCTTGAGCGCGTTCAATTTTTACGCTCGGAAACAAATTTCTTGGCTGATTTAGACAAAATATGGTGAAATTGTTTATTATCACCTTTTATGAACCTTGATCAAACTAAAAAAAAAAAGAAAAAGTCTGCAAATAAAGCTTTTGTATGAAAGTGTTTCTCTTGGAATATTTCATTTACTGATAGCTCTTGTCAATCTTCCGGACGACTTGGCTGACATTGTGGGCATACATGTATTACGAGGGTCATCGCTATATTCCTTTCATATAACAGTTTTTACGAGTTTTTCAAATCGGCAGTATAGATGTTTCCACCATTTTGAGGAATCCGTGTCACATCCAAAGACAAAGGCAAGATGATTTTAGAAAGTTATTTTATATAGGGTTGCAGCTGACTACTGGGCCCGATTTAACCTTTCAATTATAGCGATTTGTATCAAGAACAGCTGAGATTATTACCAACTAAGAATAAGCTTTGAACATGTATATTATTAGGATAAAGGTATGGAAAACAGGGATTACCAACTGTTATGAGATTTATCATCCATTAGCACATAAGTAACAATCCTATTATTTTTGTAATGCGTCATCACAAATAACGGTAAATTAAAGCTCAGATTCAGATCCACTATCACATGAGACATACAATAATGACCAAAGTTTATCAGCCCTGAATTCCGGTAATGGTGATCTCCGAAATTTCCCATACGACCATACACTAGGGGAGTTTGTGACTTGAGGCTCACAAGAAGCAGAATAGTTAGATGGGTCCTTGTATGGCGGGGTTTAGTCACATGAAACGTGCTTCTCAAATATGACACAAATGTGGCACACGAATCGTGTTGTAGTCGAATGAAAGGCGATTAACCAATCGTAACTATTAAGTATGCACTCTAATACTACCCTTACGATGACTCTGCCTCCACGATGCCGTCTGAGAACAAGTGCCTGAATAATTTAAAAAAAAAAGTGATATGCGCTTGGGGTTCAGAGCACATATAGAAAGTTATCGCTACCACGTTGAGCCATATCTTAAGATCAATAGCATGGAGCATCATATGGCTATGTCTACTTATAGCCCCATCACAATAGTTTGGGGTCAACTAGAGAAAACCACAGAGTTCTGTCCTTGGTCTTCTCCTGATTTTAATATATAAACGACATTTTCAAAAATATAAAATCAACTGCGACTCTCCCGAATAACGACTTAGAGATAATTATCAACTGGGCAAAGACCTTCAACCCACTGAAAACTGAAACACTGGCACTTTGTACTTAGAAAACCCCACTTTCGCGATCTCTTACTTTAGATAATATATCTATTAAGGAAGTAATCTCTCACAAACACCTAGGTTTTTACGAAAACTGGTAAATCTTTTGAATCATAATATTGGTGTAGGCATCTCTTCAAGTGGTCTAGTTGAATCCTCGACTACCCTTAATTCGTTCAGAGCCTTCAGCAAGGAGGGAGTCGAAAAACTAATTAGATCTTCAAAACTGACAAGTTGTGAATTAGATCCTGTTCCCACCAAATTTATTAATGAAATCTTAGATGACCTTCTCCCTGTTATTACTGATATAATAAATAGAAGTCCTCAATCTGGAGTCGTACCAAAAGCATTCAAGCACGCAGTCGTGAAACCACTCCTTAAAAAGCCGGGACAGTCCTAAGCAGTTTCCGACCCGTGTCAAATCTACCATTCTTATTTGAAGATACTAGAGAAAGCCGTTAAAGCATGTATTATAGATCATCTCGACGAGAACAGTCTCATGGACAAATTTCAATCGGCCTATCTACCATCACATAGCACTGAAACGACACTTTGTGGTGTATGAGTGGTGTATGATCTGCGGTGCTCAGTAGGCAGGGGTAATTTGTCTCTTTTAGTACTCCTAGACCTCTCCTCGGCATTCGACACTATAGACCATGATAAACTTCTTCACACTCTTCAAAATCAATTTGGGCTACAAGAATCAGTATTAGGATGGCTATCTTCCTACCTTACAGATAGGTTCCAATCAAGATGTCCGCTCAGAAAATGTTACTCTGTCTTGTGGAGTTCCGCAGGGTTCAGTTTTGGGTCCAGTTCTGTTTGTATTATATATAAAACAGCTGGGTCAGCAGATCAATAAGCATGGCATTTCCAGACACTCGTATGCCGATGACACACAACTTTACACTAGTTACCTTCCTGATCCTGTTGATTTTACTAATATGCAACTATGCTTTGAGGACATTAAATCATGGATGACACACAATATGCTGAAACTTAATGATTCTAAAACAGAGTGTATGCTCATTGGACCTTCATCGCGTATCAAAAAGCTACAAGCAGATCATTTACAAATAGGCAATAACATCTTGCCATTCCAAGAGTGTCAAAAATATGGGTGTGATACTTGATTGCACATTAATCATGGAGAAGCACGTGAACGACGTCTGTAAGAAATCTTATTTTCACCTCAGAAACATTGGAAGCATCATACAGTTAATTACTGAGTCTGCGGCAGCAACACTTGTTTGTTCCTTGGTGTTAACTCGTATCGACTACTGTGATAGTCTCCTTTCCGAAACATCTTCCTCCAATATAACA